TCTCTGTGAAGGGCTAGATATTAAATATTTTCAGCTTTGTGGGCTATATGGTCTTTCTTGCAACTACTGAACTCTGCTGTTGTGTTGTGAAATCAGCCATAAATAATATGTAAATAAATAGGTGTGGCCAGATCTGGCCTACTGGAAGTAGTTTGCTGATCATTACCCTAAATCAAGGAGCTTGCCAACAGCCAGACATGTAAAGTCATCTTAGACCACCCAAGCTCCCATGTAGCCTCCAACAAATTGCAGAGGTCAGCTGAACAAGCCCAGATCAGAATAACTGTCCAGGTAACACAAAGAATTTTGAATAATAATTACCTGTTGTTTTAAGCTACCAAGTTTTGGTTTGTTACACAACAAAAGCTAACCAATACACCAACCTTTGCCACCATTGAACATTATCAATATTTTTTACTTTTATTAGTCTGATGTATTAAAAATAGTATATTACAGTTACTTTACTATGTCTTTCTATGATTACTTATGTGTTTGAGTGATTTTTTTACATATATTCATTGGTTAACTATATATGCTCTTTTTTAAGGTTCTTCTTCATACCCATTGCTCATTTTAACACTAGATTATTTTCTTATTGATTTGTCAATATTTGAGAACATATATTGGATATTAACCCTTTGTCTGTTATATATATATTGCAAATATTTTCTCCCTGTTTGTTGTCTGTCTATTATTTGTGGCATCTTTTTTATACTGAATTTAAAAATTTTTAAAACCTCACTTGAGTATATGTTTATTGATTTTAGAGAGAGGGGAAGGGAGAGAAAGGGAGAGAAAGAGAAACAGAGGAACATCAATATAAGAGAAAAACATTGATTGGTTGTCTCCCATTCTCACTCCAACCAGGGATCAAACCTGCAACCTAAGTATGTGGCCAGACCGGGTATCAAACCTTCAACATTTTGGTGTACAGGACAGTGTTCCAACCAACTAAGCCACTGGGCCAGGGCATACTTTAAAATGTTTATATGATCAAGTTTATCAATCATTTCCCTTATGGTTTTTCAGTTGTGTATCTTTAGAAGGGCCTCCCTACTCTAAGTGTATAAAAACATCTCCAAATGCTTCCTCTAATACTTCTATAGTTGACTTTGTTTTTATAATGGTTTTATTATCCACATGAGATTTATTTTATGTATGGTATAATTTTTATTATTTCCAGGTGGCAAACATTATTAGCTATCCTGTACATTTTGTTTTTCAGATAAATTTGAAAATCATGTGCAGTTCACTATAAAAACCTCTTGATCTTTTACTTGTTATTCCTATTTGAGTCCTATTTTTTCAGAGTACCTTAAAATTTTTTTGTCCGTCACCCTGGCTGGTGTGCCTCAGTGGACTGAGCACTGGCCTGCCAACAAAGGGTCACCGGTTCAATTCCCAGTCAGGGCCCATGCTTGGGTCTCAGGCCAGGTCCCCAGCATGGAGCATGCGAGAGGCACCACACATTGATGTTTTTCTCCTTCCTTCCCTATCCCTCTCTCTAAATATAAATAAAATTTTAAAAATATTTTGTCTATCAATGGCACTATTTCTGGGTTTTCAGTCCTAATTGGAATTTACTTTTTTTTTTTTTTAAGATTATTTATTTATTTATTTTTAGAGGAGGGAAGAGAGGAAGAGGAACATCAATGTCTGGTTGCATTTTGTGCGCCCCCTACTGGGGACCTGGCCTGCAACCCAGGCATGCGCCCTATACTGGGAATCAAACTGCAACCCTAGCATGTGCTCTACACTGGGAATCAAACCGGTGGCCCTTTGGTTCACAGGCCGGTGCTCAATCCACTGAGCCACACCAGCTAGGGCGAGTTTACTTATTTTTAATTAATGTCTTCTGTTTTGGGAACTTGGAACAGGAGGGAGAGTAGTCAGGTGTACACTTAGATCGAGTTCTTCCATCAGCTACTAATAGTTTGAAATTTACTTCCCAAGTTCTTGAAAGAATTCAGCATTATTTTATAAGAATAAAAATATGATGTCCTTAGTGTAAAGTATGACTTGAGTAGCTCTCTGTTGTGTGAATGTAGGCAGAGAAAGTCATTATTCTGGGATTCGGGCATAGCTTTTTTGAGTTAATTAAGGTGGCCATTAGGTCTCTAATATAATAACTTAGTCCGTAAGATGGAACTGGATAAATTTACATAAGAAGGCCAGGGTTTTCTGGGATAGTAGGAGTTGATACTCAAGCATTGCTCTCTGAGACAAGAAGTTAGAGACCTGTGAATTTTGACTGGCTGGCCTTGGCCAAAGGACAGTGGCAGGGAAGAGTAACAAGGTCTTTGAGGAATTAACTTCTGTAAAGTGGGAGTCCAGACTGATGCCCTCAGGGGTTAATTTCAGCCCTGCAAGGTAGCTGATGCTGAAAGCTGTTCTGGTACCAGCTAGGCAACATTTCAGAATTACCAGCATTATCCATTGAATGTGCAGAATCAGTTTCCTACTACAAAGGGGCAGCATAAGGCAAAGGTGTAATTAACTAATTGGATGCCTATACTGTCCTCACTGGTCCTATCAGATTATATTCTTGGTGATTTGAGGGTAAGTCAGAGAGATAAACCCTAAGAGGCAGAGGCTGAATAGCTTATTAATCTATTTTGTTCAGTATCTAGACAATTTTAATTTTATGTAAAAAATTTTATAGGAGATGTATTTATCATAATACCACAATTTTAGTAGCCGGTGAACTTACATCCACCCATAAGGAAATTAGTTAAAAAGCTGTGCTGTGTCCATACAACAGAATACTATGTACCCATCACAAAGGACTATATAGGACTATATAATTAAAGAGAATCTACAAGACTTGTATTTGAGTAGAAAAATATATAATATTTATATAAAATTATTTAGTTATATATCCTTATGAAAATATAGAGGTCCAGAAATAAGGTTACCAAAATTTGCTGATTGGCTCTAGATGGTGATTGAGATAATATTTTCTTTCTTTTTCATACTTTCCTGTATGATTTAAATTTTTAAAAATTTACTATAATGAACATGTTTTATCTTTATGAAATAATTTTTTAAAAATGGAAAGTGATGAGAGATGTTATAAAGAATATAGTGATATGATGATGATAATAATAATAGCTTACTATGTACCAGAAACTGCTAAGTGTTTTATATGCATTATCTGATTTAATTCTCACAACAACTCTATGAGATTATTATTTGGTTTTGTGATATTGAGGAAACAGAGGCTTGAGTAGTTTAAATTCTGTCTATACTCACAGTGTTAGTAAGTGGTGGGGGTAACATTAAAGCCTAAATTCCCTGGCTGCAGAGCTAGGGTCTCTCTGGTTTGAACCACAAGGGAGTTGGATCTCTGGAGCTAACAGAAAAATTCACCAGCATTTTAAATACAATCTACTTTAAACCCTACTAGTCATACCTCCCAAGGCCATTTTCTCTTTTACCTTTCCAGAAGAAAGCACTAAATATCGTAAAATTACCCACTACTAAAGTTACTACCAACTAAAGATAAAACTTTCTGTGGTAATTTGCTACAACGGTAAATCCAGTGAACCATACCTTATAGTACTGGTAAGTGGCATTGCCCCCTCTTCTTTTTTTTTTTAATTTTTAAAAAAGACTTTATTTATTCATTTTCAGAGAGAGGGGAAGAGGAGAGGAAGAGAAGTATCAATGTGTGGTTGCCTTTCACACCCCGCACTGGAGAGGTGGCCTGCAATCTAGGCATGGGCCCAGACAGGGAATCGAACCTACTCAGCCCACTGAACCACAACAGCCAGGGATTCCCTTTTCTTCAATGTGGGCTGGTCCTTTTACTTGCTTTAGCATACAGAATACGGCGGAAGCACCAGTTCTGGACCTAAGCCTTAAGAATACCTATAAACTTCCACTTTTGCCTTTTTGGGAGTCCTGAACCACCATGTAAAAAGCCTGGCTACTCTGCTGGAGAGATTATGTGGAAAGGGCACTTGGAGTGGGAGAGGATTTGAGCCTCCAGGAAAAGAGAGACCCAGTCATTCCAGCTGAACCAGCCCCAGTTAATGTTACTCACGTTTTGAAGAAGAATGGCCTGGGGTGGGGGTGTCCTAATGGGATGTTTTTAACTAAACATTTTGGAGCGGTTTATTACGTAATAGGTTATGAAGACACCTCTCCACTTTTCCTTGGACTACTGATACACTCGGTTCTGCTTAAGTCTGAGATTGCCATTCCTTACTCCCTATCTCTCAGTTTTATGGCAATAGTTTGCCAGAAGCTTTCACATTAATTACTAGGACCTAGGCAAGCTTTTTTTTTTTTTTTTAAATGTAAACAGGTACTAGGGGGGTGTCCAGAGATTTTAGCCCTAATTTTGTTACTAGTGGTATACCTTTTGTAAGTAATTTACCTTTTAATCTCAATTGTAAAATGGGGAAACTAAAGCTGACTCTATTTTCCAGAAGGTAAACATTAATAAAACTGAATTAAAAACATAAAAATGAAGCGCCACCTCAAGAGGCAGGTGAAGAAATAAAGAAGTGTACTTGATCTCATCCGGGTGTAAGATCTTGAACAAACGACCCTCAGTTCTTCCTCCGTAAACAAGACTACTCTTTCGTACCTCACAGTTTATTTGTGATGTCTAAATAAGACATTCAGGACAGACCTGTTGCACGATAAACGCTAACTGCCCGCCATCAAATCCAAAAGCCTTCTCCCCCGCCCCACCCCTTCCCTTTTACTTTCTGACCAACCCCAGAGACTGACTTAGTAAGTAAGTAGTGAGGCCCAAAAAGCAATTTTGTTTAAAAAAAAATCTACATTTGTAAAAAACAAGTTACCTAGCAGATTCTAATGCAGGTGCCTTCACGCAAAGGACTCCGCTTGCTACCACGCCCCTTTTTCTGTCAGGAGGAGCCAAACTCCAGATCTCGCGACAGTTTCTCCTTTCTTCAGCGTCTACTACGGATCGCGCGAGGTGTTGGTCATCCAATCACGAGGCTGGATGGCTCTTCAAGATGGCGCCGCGCTGAGATCGTATGCTCTGCGTTTCTAGGAGCTTCGTGCTGCGGGTGGTTTGTCTCTGGTGTTCAGAGGCGCACGCCAAATTGGTAGTTTGGCTGGAATTTGGACTTCATAGGTGAGCCACTTACAATCTTTCGTGCAGGTTGCAAATTGACTTAATCCCTGTATCACCCAGGTTTCTTATTCTAGGGTTTTGGGCCCGTGAGGTGCTGACTTCGGGGTCTAGGGAGAGAGACCCAACTAGGGTTGGGTGCGGGGTGGGGTTGACTAATAGAATGCAGGCTAGGATTGAAGTAGGGAAGACTCATGCGGCTGAGGAGGCTTAGAGAGATCCGAAACTGAGGCGGGAAGACAAACTGAACGGGTAGGTTGAGGATGTGGAAGGAGTGGAAGAAAGGGAGAACTGCCTGTGGCGGGACCAGAAGAAAAAGGCGGATTTATGAGGGAAGGCAACGAGGAAAAACGGAGATTGGGGTTGAAGTAGGAGATATCTGTTAATCAGAATTAGGAGTTCTGAAAACGGAATTTAGACTGCGTTAAGTGGTAGTTGAAGATTACTTAAGGGTTAAGAGAAACCTACTTGACTTTTTGAACGGCCTCGGGGAACCCGGGAGAAAAAGCCCCAGCCCTAGGACTGAGCGTTTTTGAGAATCGAGATAGGGAACTCTTTACCAAGAATGAGGTGCTGTGTTTCAGTGGCTTGGACGGTGAAAACAGTTACACACCACGTTTTCAATCAACAAGTGCTTACTCTCCCAGGTCCTCATTTAGGTGCCGGGAAATCGCAGTGAACAAGATAGACATGAGGTTTTTCCTCATGAAGCTTATTGGCAGGGCACATTTAAAAAAAAAAAAAAAGTAGACTATATGGAATGTCACATGGGTAAGTTCCCATGTAGAAGATTGAAGCTGGTAAGGGAGACCAGGAGCGTGTTCACTTAGTGCAATTTTAAGTAGAGGTATTCAGGAAAGACATCAGTGAGAAGGTGATATTTTATTTGAAGATCTGAGCAAGGCCAGGGTATCTTGTATTCATGTATTTCTGGGGAAAGAGAAAACAAAGCAGACTACCAGCAAATATAAAAGTCCTGAGGTATGAGTAGACCAGCATTGATAAACAAGGAGGCCAATGTAGCTAGAGTAGAATGAGCCAGGAAGAGAAAAGTAGATTAGGTTAGAGAGAAGGAAATGTTAATGCTGATGCCAAGTACGAGTTGACACCCAGTGAAACTGAGGAACCTGAGAGATTTGGCTAAGAACCCATTGTATGAGGAGCTTGGTTAGCAAAGAAGTGCCTTTATTGACTCATTCTCTATCTGTTCTGGCCAAAAAGGTTTAGTAATGTAGGAAATGAATTGAAGCTGCCACACTTGAACGAAAAGAGATCTATGTATTATAATAAACCTGACAAGCTCAGTGACCAGCAATAACCACACAAGATGGTCTGATCACAAATTCCAACTGGGCAAGTCATAGCAGGTAGTTAATCTCGGGCTTTACCTTAGGTGAGCCCTGTCTATTGTTCTTAATGCATCTAAGTAATGCATCTTACTTTTAAAATGTCAGAGCAAATGAAAGAAGGAAAATGAAAAGACCACCATGTCTGGACTATAGCGTTGGAAGGCATAAATGGTAACAAAGGAGGCTAGAGGGATAGGCAAGGTCTAGATTATGCATGCTTCGTTAATAATTTTGGACTTTATCAGCCTAAAAGCTTTAGGAAGCCACTGAAGGGATTTAGCAAAGAATATTTAGATTTACATGAGCTAGGGAAGGGAAAACTTGTCTGCTGTGTAAAAAGGGGTTTGCAGGAGTTACAGAGAAATAAGCATGACTTGGGCTAGAGATCTGTTGTGCAGGGTGAGAAGTAGATAGTGTCAAGAAATAGCAGATCGAGAACATTAGAGACATAATATGTTTGGGATGGGAGAGGTGGGGTGGAAAAGATGCTAAAGATTTCTGGATTGTGAGCCACAAGAAAGATAGTAGCGTCATTCAGCAAAATAGGGAAGACAGATGAGGACCATTTCAGGGTGGGTAGAAATTACTTAATTTTGGACATGTGCATGAAATACTTCAGAGCCATTCAAGTGAGAAGTCTAGTGGGCAGTTGAATATATAATTTGGAAAGGTGAAGACAATTATTTTTTGAAAGTGTTTGTTAAATTCCCAGTGTAAAAAGCTGTCATAAAACCTCCAGAAAAAAATTGTTATTTATTGTTATGTAGTTATATTTCTAACAAAGCCTGCGAAAAAAAGGTGCTTGTTGATAGGAAACTTTATAATAGGGGATAGAACTTAACTGGGGAGATTAGGGAAGGAAAGATTCACGAAGAAGAGATGCTTGAGCTGTGACAGTAAGGAAGAGTAGGAATTCATCAAGTGAAGAGGGGAGGAAAGAACATTATAGACGTGGTTTTTGATCTGTGTACAAGACGCACACTGGTGTACCTCAAGAATTTTTTTAATTAATATTTGTAGCTGGGGGTCAAATAGCAGGGCTTGGGGTGGAGTTTTTGTTTCTTTGTTTTTTTTATCCTCACCCAAGAACATGTTTATTGATTTTAGAGAGAGAGTAGAAGGGAGGGAGAGGAAGAGAAGCATCATCAGTTTGCCTCTCGTACACACTCTGACAGAGACCAAACAAGAAACCCAGACATGGGAATCCAAATCTTTCAGTTCACTGGACGACGCTCCACTCCAACTGACTGAGCCATACTGGCCAGGGTGCCTATTAAGACATGTGCCTGGGTTGTGGGTTCAGCCCCCAGCTGGGTGTGTATACAAGGCAGCCAGTTGATGTTTCTGCATTCTCTTTCTGCCTCCCTTCCCCCTCTCTAAAAAAAAAGGAATTTTTAAAATATGCAGTACCTGACTATTTAGTCAGTGCACTGATCTCTTTTCCCTTAGATTGTCAAGTGAAAAAAATGACAACAGCCAACACAACAATGGCTGTCTGGTGTGAATGAATCAAAATTACACCTTTTTTTTTTTTTTTTTTTTGTAAGATCGGCAAAAAGAACTACATTTTTTGGTGTGCGTCAGAACTTTAGTAATTGCTTTATGTGTGCCACGAGGTGAAAAAGGTTGAAAATCGCTGCTACAGACGATAGGAGTAACCTGTGTAAAGACCCAGTTGCCAGAGGGAAGGGACAGAAAAATAAAGTCAGGGTGTGACAACTGATAGTCAAGAGATAGGCAAGCCCACAACAGGCTGGACTTTATTTGTATGCTGAAGTAAGGTTTTAAATTTATCTTCATTTTTTTTTATTAAAATTTTTAAAGTTGATTTTAGAGAGGAAGAGAGAGTGAGAAACGTTGACTTGCCGCTCCATCTATCTATGCATTCGTTCACTGGTTGACTCCTGCATGTTTACACAACCTTGGTGCATCGGGATGCTGCTCCCACCACCTGAACTACCAGACCAGGGCAGGCTTTTAAATTAAAAGGTTTTATTTATTTATTTTTAGAGAGGGGAGGTCAGGGAGAAAGAAGGAGAGAAATACAATGTGTGGTTGCCTCTTGTGTGCCCCCTACTGGGGATCTGGTCTGCAACTCAGGCGTGTGCCTAGACTGGGAATCAAACTGGCGACCATTTGATTTGCAGGCCAGGACTTAATCCACTGAGCCACACCAGCCAGGGCAGGTTTTTAAATTTTTATCCTGAGAGTAAGGTTTTGAGCAATCAGGTATATGCAGAGGTGGAAAAAGGAATAGAGAGAATAAAAGTAGATTCAGGGAGACCAATTAAGAGACTGTTAAAGCAGTCCAGGTAACCTGTATGGGGCTCATATTGGTGGAGATAAGGAAAAGATAGATCGATTTGAGGAGTATTTTGCCGGGTAAGTCCACATGACTTGGTTTCTTGGGCTGAGAGAGAGAGAGAGAAATCAGGTGATTCCTAGGTTTCTGGCTTACATAATACTGTTCATATGAATGCTCATTATAGAAAAGAGTGGAAAATCATGAATGGTATAAAGAAGAAAATGAAAATCACCTACCACCCAGAGATATATAGTATTCTAAAAACAATTTCTTTTTGATCCTCAGAGACTTTTTTTAAATTGCTTTTATAGAGGGTTTAGAGAGGGGGGCAGGGAGGGAGAAAAAGGAGGAGAGAAACATCAGTGTGAGAAACGTCGGTTGGTTGAACTTCTGTAGGCTTCCCAATTGGGGGCTGAACGTGCAACCTAGGCATGTGTCCTGACTGGGAATCGAACCTGCGACCTTTGGTATTTGGAGCATCGCCCAACCAACTGAGCCACACTGGCCAGAGCTCTAAAGTATTTTTAAATTACCAACTATTTAGAGATTTATTAAACCACTATAGTCTCCTTTCTTATAGTTTTTATTTCTTGATATAAATATGTTAACTTTTTTCTTCTTTGTAACCTGGTAGAAGACAAAATTATTTTTGTTTTCATTTGGTTTTAGCTCCCCTGGAATGACAAAACTGAAATTTATAAAGGAAGTTGGAATAGAAGATATTTTTTTGAAACTTCAGTGATTTTGGTACACTAAATATATTCAGTCCATGCAAAGTCACTGTAAAAACTAATCTCTGATTATAATATTTCTGGCTGTAGATTATAGTACCTTTTGCCACTTTGATGCTTTTAAAGGAATAGTTTCCAGTTCTTTCCTTGGTTCAGAAAAAAAAATTTTGTCATATATTTTGTGTACATTTTTTAGTGTGGCAAAATATATATCACATAAAACTGACCATTTTAACCATTTTTAAGTATACCATTCAGTGACATTAAGTATATTCACAATGTTTTGGAACCATTACCATTATCCCTTTCTAGAACTTTTTTTAATCCTAAATAGAAACTCTGTACCTATTACAGAATAACTCATCATTCCTTTCTCCCCTCAATCCCTAGTAACCTCTATTCTACATTACGTGTATGAATTTGCCTAGTTTTGGAAACTCATATAAGTGGGATAATACAATATTCAATATAATACAGTATTCCTTTTGGGTATGGCTTATTTTCCTTAGCATAATGTTTTTAAGGTTTGTCCATGTTGTAGCATGTATCAGAATTTCATTCCTTTTTATGGTTGAGTAATATTTTATTGTATGTATATACAACATTCTGTTTATCATTCATCTGTTTGTGGACACTTGGAGTTGTTTCCACCTTTTGGCTGTTGTGAATAATGATGCTAGGAACATTGGTAGGCAAATATATGTTTGAATCCCTGCATTCAGTTTATACTTTGGAGTGGAAATGCTGGATCATATGGTGATTCTGTGTTTTACCTTTTTAAAGAATCTCCAGACTGTTTTCCATAGTAATTGTATTATTTCATTTTTCTACCTGCAGTACATGAGGGCTTTAATTTCTTCACCTCCTTTCTAATATTTGCTATTTTCTTCTAAAAATATTTTAATAGTAGCAATTCTAATGCACAGAAGTGATATATTGTGGTTTTGATTTGCATTTCTCTAATGACAGATGATGTTGAGCCTCTTTTCATGTTCTTATTTGTTGTGTATATTTAAAAATATAACTTCTACTTTCTCACTTGATTGGCAAGGATGTGTTGGCTGAAACTGTTGACTTGGCAACCACAGTTTTTCCTCATAAAGATTTTTTTAAACCGTATATGCTGACTCCCCCCCCCCTTTTTTTCTTTTTAAAGATGGCTCTGAGTAAATCAATGCATGCAAGAAATAGATACAAGGACAAACCTCCTGATTTTGCATATCTGGCATCCAAATATCCAGATTTTAAGAAACATGTTCAGATGAATCTGAATGGAAGAGTGAGGTAGGTAACAGATGAAGAATTATTGATACTGTATTATTTTAGTGTAATCTAATGGATACAGTGTAGTGGAAAATGTTTTGAACTGATAGTAGACCTGAATGCCAATCCTAGACATTTCATTAAACATTTCGTCTGACCTTGGACAAGTCACCCTCTCTGGGTTTCTTTTCTTTTTTTTTTTTTTAAATTACTACCTTTTCAATCCTCACCTGAGGATACGTTTATTGATTTTTTAGAGAGAGAGAGAAAGGGAAAGAAATACTGATGTGGGAGAGAAACATCAATTGGCTGCCTCCCATATGCACCCCAGCCTGGGTATGGGCCCTGATTGGGAATCTAACCCTCAGCCTTTTGGTGTGTGGGATGATGCCCCAACCAATTGAGCCACCTGGTCAGGGCTCTGCCTTTCAGTTTTTTAATCTATAAAATGAGAGGATTGAACCAAATGTTTTTAAGTTTCCTCTGGTTTAAAAAATAAAAAAAAAACCCAAAACTTGTCAATGTCCAAATCATTTCTTACCTGTCAGAGATCCCAGAGCAACTGCAGAAACCTTAGAATTGTGCTCTAGAACTTGGTGACTGGTGAGGGTTTAAGTCCTTTTTTCAAGTGTTATTTTGAGGTAGGAAAATAATAACTAGGAAGGACATCAAAACTGTGATTTCACAAGTTAAAAAGTTGATTTTTAAAAAATTAAGAATAGTATGAGTGCTTCAGCAAAATGTCAACATTATGATAGTGGTATGGGAATAAGTGATGTGCATGATAACTCTTGAGAAGGAAATGTTTGATTGCATTCCTTAACTGTATGGTAGTTTACAGAGGGGGTGGAAACTCCAAGCTTGCCTAGGGAAAGATGTGCTGATTTAGCTATGGGGAGGAGGAGGAGCAGGATTTGTGGAGAAGAGGGAAGGTAAGTAATAATAGAATTATAAGGCTGACTTCTTCCTTTCTCCTGGCAGTCTTCTTATGACTTTAGAAATAGAAGTCTTAAAGCAGGACTTAACCTGAGGACCAAGATACCTTAGAAATCATATAAAAGTATTTTAAAAATGTATTTACATTCATTTTTCTGGGAAATAATCCTTAGTTTTCATAAGATTCTCAAAGTGATCTGTGACATTACACCCCATCCCCAAAAGGTAAGATCAAATGCCCCAGAACTGTGGTTTCCAAACTTGTTTATCTACCTCATTCAGTAAAAAGTTGAGCACAGCCCCAATTATGAATGCTTGTACTACTTAATATTTATTGATTAACTATTTTGTGCTAAGTTCTAGGAAAGCCATTATAACAAGAAAGACATGTTAGATTTGTGTTATGTGTTATTGTGACTCCTGGTGACCCTGTGAATGGGTGATGTCCACAATGTCCTGTTCTTAACAACCCTGCTCAGCTCCATAGACTCATTCCTATGGCTCCTTTTATGGAATAAATCCATCTCATAGCTGGTTTTCCTCTTTTCCTGCTGCATTCTATTTCTCCCAGCAATGTTGTGTTTTCCAAAGAACCCTGGCTTTTCACAATATGCCCAAAGTAGGGCAGCTTCAGTTTTGTCATTTTTGCCTCCAGTGATGTTTCAGGTTTAATTTGCTCTAGAACCCACTTGTTCATCTTTCTGGTGGTCCGGGGTCCTTAGAGCTTTCCTCTAATACCATATTTCACATGAATCAATTTTTTTCCTATCAGCCGCCTTCACTGTCCAGCATTCACATCGGTACATAGTAATTGGGAGTATGGGGGTGTGGGTGACCTTAGCCTTGGTCTCTGATGACACATGCTCACTCTTGGTGATCTTTCCTAATTCTTCCATTTCTGCTCTTCTGAGTCTCAGCCTTCTCTTTGTTTCTTGGCTGCAGTCTCCATTTGAATTGATAACTGAACCAGTGTAAGCAAAATCTTTAATAATTTCGGTGTCTTCATTGTCAGTGTTAAAGTTGTGTATTTCTTCTGCTGTAGTGATTTTTGCCTTGATGTTCAAGTGTCGTCCTCCTTTGGTACTTTCTCCTTTCACTTTCATTAGAAGGTGTTTCAAAGCATTGCTACTTTCTGCCAGTAAGATGGTGTTATCTGCCTATCTTATATTATTGATATTTTTTCCACAAATTTTTGCTTCTTCCCCTGAGTCTGGCCCAGTTTTTGTATATGTTTTGCCTGAAGATTAGAATAGGAAAAGAGAGACCAAAAAAGAAAAGAAAAGAAAAGAAATGGTCACTGCCATATTTGGAGTTTACATACTAGTGGGGGAAGTATACAAGTAAACAAGCAGTTAACTTTGTTTGCCTCCACATGGAAGAATCTGAGGGGTGTGCAGTGGAATCACGTAAGAGGAAGATCTGACCCTGACTGTAGGATTTAGGATTTTGTTTCATTTGAAACAGAAGCGCTCTCTTGGTTGAGTTCTGAAGAATGAATAGGAAATAGCCAGGTGGAAAGAAGAGTGTTACAGGCAGAGGGAGTAGCATGCGCAAAGAACACTGAATGGTAGTGGAACTGCAAAGCTGAACCTGCGTAGGATGTGGTAGAGAAATGACTGGAGGTGGGTCTAGGGAGGATTATGCTTACAATACTTTATAAGGCCCAGTGAGGAGTTTGGAATTTATCTTAAGGACATGATGTGGAGAGTTCTTATATCTTCAGAGTTACCTGTCCCTCTACTTATCCACTAAAGTTTTGTTTTTGTTTTTAATCCTTTCCTGTGGATATGTTTATTGATTTTAGAGATAGAGGAAGTAATAGGGAGAGGGAAACATCAATCTGAGGGAAAAACATTGATTGGTTGCCTCTCATACGCAACCTGACTGGGAATTAAATCCGCAACCTAGATATGTGCTCTGTTGGGGAATCAAACCCACAACCTTTTGGTGTACAGGACAGCACTCCAACCAACTGAGCCACCATGCCAGGGCACCACTAAAATTTTAAAGTAGGGGAATAACATGTTCAGAATTGTGTTTAGACAGTGTATTCTAGGAACATTGTGGAAGATGGATTGCAGGGGTGATTAAGACTGGAGGTACAGGGAAATAAGCAGAAAATGGTTTTCATAATCCAAATTAGATACATTGGTGGCTTAACTAGGAAATGACAATAGGGATAGAGATTACTGGATGAGTTTGAGAGAAATTCATGAATAGAATTAGCAGGACATGTTGGAAATTAGGAAGTAGGAGCCAAGTATGATTCTTTGGATTTCAAATAAGCAAGATGCTACATGGTAGTGCCATTTACTAAAGTAGGGACCAAGGGGGAATGAGTTGGTTTTGGGGGAGATGGTGTTTTCAGTTTCCGGGATATATGTAGAGAGAAGTCTGGGTAGACTGGAGTATTTTGTAAGCAATTAAAAACAGAAGTCTGAAAGGGACACAGCGGTGATACAGGGGTGGTGTTAGTGAAAGCCCTGGGTCTTTGAACTGAATACTGAAGGATGAATAGAAGCAGGGGGAAGAATTCCAAGTACATAAAACAGAATTTTGCTTTTGTTTTTGTTTTTAATGTATATTTTGTTGATTATGCTATTATAGTTGTCGCATTTTGTTTTCTCCCTTTTATTCCCCTCCACCCTGCACTGGCCTGTCCCCCAGCATCCCTCCTCGCCATAGTTCATGTCCATGGGTTGTACATACAAGTTCTTGTGGTTTCTCCACTTCCTATACTAGTCTTAACCTCCCCCTATCTATTTTGTACCTACTATTTATGCTGCTTATTCCCTGTACCTTTCCACCCATTCTTCCCCCTCCCCCTCCAATCTCCATTTTCGTGATTCTTTTCCTGTTTTAGTTGTTTGCTTAGTTTGTTTTTGTTTTAGGTTCAGTTGTTGATAATTGTGAGGTTGTCATTTTACTGTTCATAATTTTTTATCTTCTTTTTCTTAGGTAAGTCCCTTTGACATTTCATATGAAAGGAGCTTGGTGATGGTAAACTCCTTGAACTTGACCTTCTCTGGGAAGCACTTTATCGACCCTTCCATTCTAAATGATAGCTTTGCTGGATAGAGTAATCTTGGATATAGCCCCTTGCTTTTCATGACTTTGAATACTTCTTGCCAGCCCCATCTTCCCTGCAAGGTTTCTTGTGAGAAATCAGCTGGTAGTCTTGTGGGCACTCCTTTGTAAATAACTGTCTCCTTTCCTCTTGTTTCTTTTAAGATTCTCTCCTTGTCTTTAATTTTGGGTAATGTAATTACGATGTGCCTTGGTGTGTGCTTCCGTGGGTCCAACTTCTTTGGGACTCTCTGAGCTTCCTGGATCTCCTGGAAGCCTTGTGTCCTTTGCCAGATTGGGGAAGTTCTCCTTCATTATTTTTCAAGTACGTTTTCAGTTTCTTGATCTTCCTCTTCTCCTTCTGGCACACCTATGATTCGGATGTTGGAACGTTTCAAGTTGTCCCAGGGGTTCCTAAGCCTCTGCTCATTTTTTTGAATTCTTGTTTGTTCATTCTGTTCTGGTTGAATGTTCATCTCTTCCCTTCTGCTCCCAATCGTTGATTTGAGTCCCGGTTTCCTTCCCTTTCCTGTTGATTCCCTTTATATTTTTCTTTATTTCACTTTGCATAGCCTTTGTTTTTCCCTCCATTTTGCAACGATACTCAACCACTTCTGTGAGCGTCCTGATTACCAGTGTTTTGAACTGTGTATCTGATAGGTTGGCTGTCTGTTCACAGGCTAGTTCTGTTTTTGGAGCTTTGGTTTGTTCTTTCATTTGGGCTGCATTTCTTTGTCTCAGTGTGTGTGTTAAGTTGGGAGAGGTGGAGCCTTAGGTATTTGCCAGGGCGAGGCAACCCAGGTCACTGTGACACTGTATGTGAGGGAGGGGTCCAAGAGGAAGCAATGCCACTTGCTTGGCTCTCACCCTGCTTTCAAGTCACTTCCCCCAGGGTGTCAAAAATGGATTTTTAAAATTTTTTTAAAGATTTTATTTTTAGAGAGAGGGGAAGGGAGAAAGAAAAAGGTAGAGAAACATCAATGTGTGGTTGCCTCTCGCACGCCCACAACCCAGGCATG